TGTTTCGAAAGTTTTGGAAAAGGAGCGTCTGCGAAATCCTTCTTTTCCCCATGCTCATAGTCTGCCAAAACCCCAGTTTCAAGCACATTGCCATGAAACTGCTGCAATCCCTACGTGCAACATACCAGGGGTCACTCGAGGCGCAGTAACCATGTTCTCTTATCTTCTGTTATGTTCTGTTGCTGCAATATCCTTGGAGCCATGTGGAGGCCGTGGCAAGAAGGCATTGAGCCTTTGGCATCGATGCTCCGCTCCCTGGAGTTCCAAGTGGAAGCCCTCTTCGAGTTGATGGATGCCTCTTGGCCTTGTTCTTTTTTGTTTCTTGTCGCTGTAAAGCGTGCCGGCTTCCGACCTCCCATTTTTCTTGTTCAAGGCCCACTCCTTCAAGGATGAGGCAGATGCCTCCGTCGTTGACGTCATCAACAGGCCATGTGACAGTTTGAGACAGCCCCGGACCCTTACCACAGCTGTCATGGAAGGAAGCGCGAAGCTCTCCACAACACGTTTGCGGCATTGAAGGAGGCTCTCTGGTGGACGCGGTGCGCGCACCCTTGCAGATCATTCCAGTTGTGGTGCTTTTCATTCTTCGGTCCGCTTCCTCTAGCCGCCGGCACAGTGAAAAGGCTCCAAGCATCTGCAGCACCGTTTCCAAAGTTAGGCACGGTGAATCTGTAGAACATGCCGGCGCTGCCTGCCCCGGAACTGCGACTGGTTGGCATTGAAGAGCCTGTGGTAGTGCAGTACATTGCTACCTTGCAAGGCCTTCTGTCGACCTAGAGGCCGATACCAGAGCTTCCGACGTAAAGTGAGAGTTTGCCAAGATCTGCGAATCGCGGGAGGCAAAGCCGAAGAAGAGGAAGAGGGCGAAGCCAGAGCCAGATTGTGCTCAGCCGGGCGTGCTGTTGGTTGGCAGCTCAGCTTCAGGAGAGGTCTTGTTTCATGAAGCTCACGAAGCTGTGCAGGCAGCTCCGAAGACTGAAGGCAAGTCGCATCAGCCTCATCTTTCTGTGTTTCGTGCGGGCTCTGAGTTTTCTGGAGTTTGCAGCCCAGGCATCGTGTTACCTTGGCACATCCGTGCGTCCCTGAGCCTCTGGGGGGTATGTTTCTGATCCTTTATCGGGGCTGAGCGTGGCTGCTTCGGCGGACCCCAGACTCACCGGGTCACGATGGCACAGGGCCGCGCGCTCTGTGTCCAGTAGCCCAGTAGGTGCCCAGCCTTGAATTGCCTCGTGCACGTCGATCGAGGGCGCATCATGCGAAGCCGTATTTGTTCAGGCGGTACACTGGCAACCTTTAAGTTCTGACAGAGCTGGATTTCTGCAGTGTCGTGGTCTTTCAGTAACGGCGTAGCCATGGGCGGCCGCCGCCATACAGTTCTACTGCAGAGCAGCGGTCGTGCGCTGGGCCTTGGGGATGCTGGGCAAGAACTCGAGTTGCTAAGGTTTAGTTAGTTTAGTCCTAGGGCATCGCATTGTGGTACTTTGGAACGACAGCTGACTAGCCATCATTGATGTGTGCCCTGTTCTGGTTCTGGATGGTAGGCTTCTTCCAAAGCAGGTTTTCGAACCCTGTGCAGACCCTTGGATGACCGTTTAGGGGCTAAGAGATTGGATCCACCACATGTTCTTTCAGGGCTTACGGTTCATTCACCAACAGCTCATCAATCAGGATACATTGCAGATGCAGACGTTTGTTTCGTCATCGATGCTTCGGGCTCGGAGGATAGGCATTTTGCCTGAGCAATTTTTCGGCCCTTGGAAAGGCAACGTCCTGGGAGAATCCACTGAGTTTGGAGGTTTGTAGTGAGGCGGAGGGTGCGAGGACGCAGCCGGAGCCGACGCAGCTGGAGCCGCCGCGCATGGAGCCCGCCGCCATCGCGGCCACGCAGCTGGACTCACCCGAGCCATCGCAAGCAGCCTCACCTAGAGACCTAGAGTTCGCTTACCTGGCATATCAGAGGCCGGGAAGAAGACGTAGAGCCACCACACGCCCTGCAAAGATGAAGCAGTGTGTCACAGCCAGCCGACAGAGACTGCATCATCTCAGGGGCTGGCACCAATTTTCAAGACAAAACTTCATCACATGTAGGCAAGCAGAAGCACAATCAAGCCGTCTGTACTTATAATCGTTTCACGAAAACTTTTCGGACGATACCGAGATATGGCGTCGGACAGTACCGACAGGGCACGGTCACCCTAAAAAACTTTGGACAGAAGGGGACTGCTGTACGTGTCTATGGCTATCCATCATGCGGGGGATCAAAGCTCAGACGTCCTCATCCCGCCAGGCTACTAAGAACGCCGGCGCTGGAACTCACCTTCTCTCGGGTCCGGAATTTCACTGCGTCTTTTGACTCCCGACGCGCAGAGGCAGTGGATTCGGAGTGCCAGACACCGCCCAACACTCCTTCGAGACACGGCGCGAGAAGGTGAGCAGGATGCAAACAGACCCGTACATGGAGGCGCATGAGCCTGCAGTGGCGCCCACAATGCCATTTCAGGCGGCCATGATGGAGCGGCTGGACCTGGAGTTGCCTGTGGAGAACAGACACTGCAGGCAGTGGCTCGAGAGCTCGTCGCAGGATGGAAACAGCCACATGACGAGCAGCGACTGCAGCGCCGCGGCCCGTCACACTTCTCCAGTCGTGTCTCTACGTTCTTGGAGGAGGCGCACGTGCATGTGACGAGCGTCTGAAAGATGCCTAGCATGGCGCAAGGCCCATCGCACAAGACTCATCGCGCAAGACTCATCGCACAGCTCTCATCGCACCACTCTCATCGGCACGGCTCTCATCGCACCAGACTCATCGCACCACTCTCATCGCACAGCCCTTATCGCACAGATCTCATCGCACAACTCTTCCTGCCCTTAAACCCTAAACCCTCCGCAGGCCAGCCGCGGCCGAAGAGACGGAGGAGCCAAGGAAGAAGCCGTGGGCTGACGAAAACAAAACCCACCAGACTTGTAATTGAGACTTCGAGGGTCGAGGGTTCCTCATCGCACGTACCTCATCGCACCCCTCATCGCACCCCTCATCGCACCGTGATCGACTTCGCGCAGGTGCGCTGCGTGCAGCAGTGCGAAGTGCAGCTCCTACTGCTACAAGCCTGGCTGCGCGCCTAGAGCTTGACCGGCTTGTGCCCCTGCTCGAGGACGAGACACCCCTCATGGGTTTCCGACCACTTCCAGAGCTGCAGCATGAGTGCTCGCTCGAGTGGCACCCAAGCTGGCTGTGGTCCCTGAACTACTTTCACGAAGCCGGTTGGCGAGCCTTGGGCCACGAAGATCGCCGGCAACCTGGAAAGACGCGCTGCCCTCCTGTGGCAGATGCTGGGTCGCCATGAGAGCGACTTGCTGTGCGAGGGCCTGGGCAAGCACTGGTGCCAGAGGGTCGACGAAGCCAGCTTATCCGCCAACTGGACCTTCCCGACCGCACGGAGGAGATCTGCCTCGTACAGTTCCGGCACATCAATAAATATAAAAAGGCTTGCCGCGTCCATGTGGTCCGCACCGGCATTATCCAGAAGCCTTAGGTCATCGTATGCTCTCGGCAGTACCTCCAGCTCGCACGCCAGGACCACGCCATCCGCCGGTCGTCTGGGTCTGCGGCAGTCATGCCCAAGGCGCTCTGCTCGAGACGGTCGTGCACCAGCGCATGAGATACTACGCGCCGCACGTGGTCATCAACAGTGGCTCCGACGACGCTGCTAAAGCCAGGTCACCGCGCTGGACGAGCTGCTTCACACGCTCCACAATACCTCTCACAAGATTGTCGAGCACGTCGCGGTGGGCACAGCCTTCTTCGCCCAGGAGCTCAAAAAGAGATCATAAGACTCAACTCGGCGGCGAGGCTGCGTGCCCAAAGAAGAACTCAACCAGTCCCTGTGCTCTGAGGGCTGGCTCCTCCTGAGCAGGCCTCTGTCACCTTCTGTCTTCCTGTTTTCAAGAAAGAGCCTAGACCGAAGACACGTTGCTCCCGACTAAGAGCTTCTGTGCAGTGTAGCTTGTGCGTCTTTGATCTTTGGATGCAAAATTGCAGTTAGGCCATCATGACTCGTTTTGTTTTGTTGCTGCTGTGTAGGTTTGCCAAGCATCACTCCATCCATGGTTCAAGGTTTGACGGTTTCGGCTTGCCCACCATGAATTTTCTTTACAATTCCTACGCGCTTAAGATTCGTTTAAGTTGCAGTTGGGGGGTTTGACAGCCAGCGCTTGTTTGAAGGTTTGGTAATCGCTCTGGTAGGTCGCGGCTTGCCCACCAGACGTCTTTTATTAGTTTGAGGTCAAAGAACAAATGACGGTCGTCTAGGAGTTGAGGATTGAGCCTGCGGAAAGCGCTGACAAGCCCCAAGCCTGAAACAAGTGATTGGGCGGACTACCCAGCTGCCCGAGTCCCCGTGTTCGTGCCCCGACACCGAAACCTGAAGCTGTAACCCCGACCCCTTGCATCTTTGTAGATTAGGCCATCGCATCTCATCATTCGTGCCGAGAACCCTTTCACCACCATCATCCTCATCCGCCATCACTTTCTTTTGGGTTGGGGTGCTTCCGTGCAATTGTGCACGATATGGGGGTTAGGCTGTATGGTGCAGTGATGTTGATTCTTGGCAACAAGGCAAACAAGCACGGCCAGTGCAACATCCCAGAGATCCCCAGCAACCTGGAGTATGTACAGGCCACCTGGACCTGCATGTAGCGAATGTCCTTTTCAGACAAGTTTCTGGAACTTTCTGTAGCAGACGGTCTTGAGCAGGTCGCGACAGGTACGGCACACAGCGTCCTATTACGGAGCGATGGACATGTTGTGGCCTGTGGCGACAACAGGGTCTCCCTGCCATCAATTTGGTGTCTGTGATAGGACCAGATCAACCCGTCCTTGCTTGGAACATTGTTGGGACGTGAGGCTGGCCAGTGCGATGTTCCGAGTCTCAATGACGGTTGTCAGCTTCCTGGCCAAGATTCATACAAACGCCTCGGCAGCATAGCAATCTCCCGACGGCTTGAGGTACGTGCAGGTTTCCGCCGCTGGGAATCGCACCTTGCTCTTGCGCAGCGATGGCAAGGCCTTAGCAATTGGAGATACTTTTCCTCCTCTCGCAGCAGCCAAGCTGCACTAAAAGCTCGCAGTCGCCGTGTGTTTCCGAGAGTATCCGCCAGCCCGAGGACTTTCCGGAGCTAGAGGGTGACAGGAAGTTCGTTCAAGTAGAAACAGGCCACTGATCCCTTCCAGCCGTGCTTGCAGCTAATGTTGCTCGGTGACGGGGCTGATCCATGATGGGCTCGCCTGCAGGCCTGTTTCACACGGTCTTGCTTACCAATGATGGCCAGATGCTTGTGCCCCTGGCTTGCACAGTGCATCCTGTGAATGTTGTCAGTGAGCCTGTCGCTGTCAATTGCAGACTGCTCAGGAGAGCAGACAACGAAGTTCACGAACTGACTATCCCAGACCTGCACGACAACCAGAGGCCATTCATCGCTTTCTAGAAAGTCGAAGTCCAGTGCCGCTCTTGCGGTGAATGCTGGCAACTGTGGTCATGTGCATCTGAAAAGGTACGTTCAGGTATCGGCTGGTGATTTCCACGTAGTGTGGCTACTCAGCGATGGCACTGTGGTGGCTGCCGGAGACAACCGTTATGGCCAGTGCTGGCCCAAGGATACTCGGGCACAGCGAACATGTGAACGCTGCAGCCCCACGCTTGTCTACCTTGCCAAGGTGTAGCATTCCTTCTTCTGGGGATCTGGAGTACACTAAGGCCACTCGTGCCGCAGTTGAAGTAACCCAACATGATGGATTTGTCAGGATCGGTCGCCCTGTGTTCTGTGTTCACGTGGCTGCAATGGGGGAAGATGCTTGTAGTGTGTACAACTGTCGAAGCAGAGGCTTAACAGTTTCACAAGCATCTTCTCATCTGTCTGAGGTAACAGGCATTAAGATTTCAGGGTTTCTTTGTCTCAAACATGCAGTGTGCACCGACTCGATGCAGGTTTCGGCTGGAGGACTTCATACAGCGTTGCTGCGCAGTGATGGACGAGTGCTGACCGTCGGGAACAACCGGTGCGCTGTCGTAAATCAATTGGTCTGAGTGTGACAATAAGACTGCTTCCTACTCCTGCCATTGGAGGTGCGGACAGTGCGATGTCCCTGATCTGCCAGCAGGTCTCATATATGAAATTCGGCTTAACGCAATTCTTCATGTGGTGGGTGCTCATGCCTTGAAGAAAAAGGCATGGTCGGCAGCCAAGGAAGACATCTCGGCTGGCGACCTCCACACGGTTTCCGGCCATCCTTATCATGCTAGATGACCTCAGGTTCCTTAAGGCCTTGTCGCAGCCTAGCCCCTAAGGCTTTACAACATTTCGTCGAATTTCGGCGCAAAAAATTGAGAAAAATCCTCTAAAGGCCCAGAATGCCCCACAAAACTCACCAGGTTCTGCTGCGCAGCGATGGCCGGGTGGTGGCCTTCGGCGATGATCACTGGGGTCAATGCCAGGTCCCGGAGCCCGAGGCCCTGCGTCAAAGAGCGGGGCTGCTTTTTGTTTTTTCCAGTTTTGCCCAGGTTTCGGAGGTTTGGTTTGCGTTGCCTTGTGTTTTGTTCATTATGTGTGTGTGTGCATATACATCTATCTATATGTATGTATGTACATACATACATACATACATACATACATATACATACATTTTACTTACGTATTTTTCGCGGGCGTCTTTTCTTCCTTATGGGCTTACATGAAATAGTGTTTGATCTAACCTTTTTGCTGTTTTCTTTCCTGTGCTTCCGCATGCTTCCGCTCTGGTAGGCAGGCGAGGTCTACGTTCCCAGCTGGCCGGGCGATCACTCGCCCATCGTAGTCCAGCTCGTGGCTCTTCTTGACTTGATGGTTGATGATGCCTCTCATGACTCTCATGTGCAGGTCGAGTTGGGGAGGGCCCTTTCTGAGGTACCGAGTGATGCAGACCACAAGCACTGGCAATGCTTCAGCCTTGCTGGGCGAGCAGTGCTGAGTGACTCGGCTGCCCTAAAGCAACGGGTGGGTCGGCTCCTATGTTGGAGATGACAGAGGCTGACAGTGCATGCGCCGACATGCACTCGTGGTTGCAAGGCTTTGCAGTGTCCGAGCTGTGCGTCGAGGCCGGGATGCATGCAACCAGAGCTGGTCACACAGTGTAGGCTGTTGCGACATGAACTGTCGATAACAAGCCGGATCAGCTGTGTCCGCTGCGTCTCAGCATGTCTGAAGGAGTTTTGGACACGCCTGACGGAGCAATTCCATGCACCGAAGTGGAAACTTCAGGTGCACCTTTGGCTCTCTGCTTGTGAGCCCCCAGCCGAGCCGACACCATTCAGTTTTGAGTCGCAGGTGGTTCTGTCGAACGGCGAGCTCCTCTGCGACAGCAAGCTTCATCAAATCTGCCCGGCCTACCGGGCCCTGGGCGCCTAGGAAGAGACACGCAGAGAACAAAAAGGAGCCTGCAAAAGCAGGATTTGCTGCTGTTTGAAGTTCGTTGAGGCCTGGCGCTTCCCGGGTGCCAGACACGCTGCTTTCTGCTTGTTCTTCGGATCGTCAGGGTCCACGTTCCTGAGGCCAATATGAGCTCTTTCTGTGCAGTTCCAAGATCGGGCCTCTTTCTGCACCCATAGTTATTATGATTAATCTTATTAATTATTCATTATTATAAATTATTACTATTCTTACAAGGATACCTTCTGGCTAAGATCCTGACATTACAGATTGTTGTGCGAGAGGCAAAGTGGCTCCTCTCACTGTATCCAGGCCCCCATCTCCGAAGAAGCCAAGACGTACTGCCCCATATGGTCACGTGCAAGGCTACCCTTGGTCTAGTATAGCCGTGTTGGAGGTGGGTGGCTGATGAGTTTTCTCGAAGTGTTGTCAACCCAAGCTCGGGAGCGTTCTGCTACACGTGGGTTGGGCAAGTGTCACTAGTCACTTGCGATTTCGACATGTTCCAAAGGTCGCGAATGCCCTTCCCACGCTTGGTTGCCAAGTTGCTACGCACGTGTGTGCTTACCAAAGGCGTTCCCCAGATTTCAAGCGGACGAATGAAGACTCGAGAGGCCTGAATACCTCGTGGCGCGGAAGAGCGCCGGACGAAGAATCGGTCGAGCTCTTCCATTGCTTGGACACGACAGACGGGAATCCTGCGCCGCTTGCGCGATGGCAGACCCAATGTCCTTTCGTATAGAGAGAGTTCCATGTCTAGATCTGTTTCGCTTTATGGTTTGACTCTGTCGTTCCTGTGATATTCTCGTTTGGTCCAATCTATGCCAATGCAAAATCATGCAAGAACCCTCGCAAATCCCAACAGGAATGCAGGAGGCACAGCCGACAGCTGGGCCATGCCACCAGTTCCTTTGCATGAGGTGTGCTGCAGTTGGCAGCGTAACTGACCTCCTTTGCAGAAGGCACCTGTTTATCAGCCAATGAAGCCAATGTCCCTTGCTGCAGCCTTCGAGGTACTCGAGGGGCTGAAAGCCTACGAGTGCTATTAATATACAATGCCTATGTACATATTTTTGTATACGTCGTAGTATGTAATACATACACATGTATATCGTTTTGGATAAAGGGATACGGCTTCGGGCTTGGACGGTGCTACAGGGCTTCCTTCATGCCGGACATGGCATGCGATGTAGATTATGTGGTGTCCAGTGTACACTTTCTTGCCACTCTTCAGATTTTCCTGGTGTTACCATGGGTTGAATCTGAGAGCCAGGCATTGACCAGCCAGTGCCACCAGCCTGGGTCGCTACAGCAGGTCGGTCCTACTGCCTTGCTGCCTTTCTTATGCTGTGTACAGAAGTCTACAGGCTTCCACCGAGTTCCATAGGGACACTTCCAAGTGTGGCGCGGAAGCATCTTGGCCACAGAAACTACAGCTGCAAAGAGAAGCTGTGTAAAAGAAGGCCATGGTGTGTTGCTCCGCAGTCAGAAGGGGCGCGGACGACCCCGCTCTTGGAAATCTATGACAGGACAGCCCTTTTCCAGACTCCCGGGTCCAAGACACTGTCAAGATTCGCAAGGCCTGTAGAACGAGCTTTGGATCCGGGGGTCAGTTTCGTCTTTATCGGACAAGTTTCCGCCCAAGCTTGCCTGAAGCATTGGAGCGTCCAAAGAAAAGCATCCAGTTCTGCTGTGCTTCTGATTCAGCATGCAAGCACTCATCTCGAACTCACCCATCAAGCCCTGAAACTCAAGCCAAACCGTTGGATAGTCCCAGCACCTGATTCTCCACTGTTCTAACTCCAGTCGGTCGCCCTAAGCCCTAAACCCTAAACCCCACGACCACGAGCCCCAAAGCCCGTATGGTTCTGTGGCAGTAACTCCTTCATGGCCCAGGCTCCGCCACAGTGACCTCCTTCTTTCGAGGTCTGCGCCTGGGAATCTATCTAACTTGCAGGAGAGATTTATATGTAGTGGCCTGAAGTGGAGGGATGTAGAGGGTAGCAGTCTCAAAGTCTACAGAAGTAAATGCTTGTAACAGAGCGTACTGTGGTGGTGGTGGTGGTGGTGGTGGTGGAGTTCAGTGTCTTTGAAAGATGTACAGTGTAAATCTACAGTACTGATAAGCATCTTATCCAGGACCCATGGATTTTTCCTTCTCTTTTTCACATTTTGGTTTTCGCGCAGCCCTTCGCTTCAGGTGACGTGTCCAGCATCTCCGGACGAGAACTACTGCTCGTCCCACCACTATAGAAACCAAAAACCACAAACACAAAAAGTATACCAAACCCCAACACAACACATTCCGACATTCCGCCTCTATATCCCAATCAAAGCTTCTTCCGGTCGCTGGTTTGTAGCGCTGCGAGTATTTTTTTTGCACAGGGGGTCTGCGTGAGGCTTCGAATTCTCGTGCGCTTTTCTGCGAAGCTTGCTCCAACATGCTGTTCGGAGAGACTGTGGGCATATATGATTTTGAAGGATCAGGAAAATCCAGAAAATGCAGCGTATGGTTTATGAGTATTCTCAAAGCATTGTATCAGTTTCCTTCGAGCAGTAGTCGCTATTCAACAATCAGATATTCTCGCATCCATCTATGTTTCTGTGCAGCGGAAGAGCCCTTATCGACCGGTTATTGGAGTCTTACATGCTTCAAACCATTTCTAGGGGTTTCCATTTAGCAGAACATACAGTTTTGACCCTCAACCGAGAAGTGCTGTACTGCTATACGACATCAATATCAAAACAAACTTTTGAGTCGATGATTTACCACTTTAGAACATGTTTTCAGCTTAATGTCCACTTACTGTATTTGCATATTATCAAGCTTCTGTTCAAATAGCATCATGTAGATCGTATGGTTAACTTTTGGGTGTTGACGGTCGTTTCTTTGTTGTCAAGCCAATAGCAGTACATGCGACAGCCCGATTCTACTCATCAAGGACTACATCTTAACATGCCTTAGACAGAACTTCGGAATTACGTTTGGAAAATGTATATTCATGAAATATTCACAGGACATTGGGCATGACATACATTTTGACTGCCTATCGCGCAATTCTATTTAAACCTGAACTAGGTAGTATCTTATCATTGTTTGAACATAGATGACGGACGGTCGATGTTGATCTTGAGTTTCGACGACATGTGCAAAACATATTGTTGCCAGCGCATTTTTTGCGGACAATATGACTGCTCATATGCTATAGTTGTACGTTAACATAGTCAGGCCTCAAGCATTTAGCAGCTTTTTCTTGTTGGCTGTATGTGAAAGCACGTACAGCGCGAGCAGAATCCACATGCAAAAGGTCATCTCTTGTTCGATAAAACTTGATGGTAAACCGACATAGTTACATCATGCTTGATGTTGAACGCGAGCTAGATATCAAGATGTAATTCTATGTAACAGTATGTCAAAATATACGACGGTGTATAACGGTACATGATGGTGTATAATGGTATATAGTGATACATTGTCGTATATCAGGTACAGACAAGTTTGTCATGTATGTAACGGTATAACCGCACATCAGAGTCATGGTGTATCACGGTATCTCACGGCACACAATGGAATATCATGGTGTGCAAAGGTATAGGATTGTATATAATGGCGTGTAATCTTTCAGAGTAACAGTATATGTGTAATGATGTAGAATGGCATAGACTAGCATAGACTGGTATCGAATGGTACAGAACATTGTATCATGGGACACAATAGTTCACAACATCATGTAACGGTATCTTGTATAGCTGTATATAACCGTAAATACTTACACAACCGTATACAATAAAAATATGCAATATATAATAGTATATGCCTGTATATAATTGTACATACTCATATATAATGGTGAAGAGTAGTGTCCCAGTAGCATATGATAGTGTATACAAGGACATAGTAGTATATAGTAGTATATACATGCATGTAAAAAGAAATAATAGTAGAAAGAATCTTGAGCAATATGTAATAGTATGTACTTGTTTTGACGGTATTTAACCGTATGTAGTGACATAGATTAGCATATAATGGTATACAATGACGTTCAAGAGTATATAGTAGTATATAATAGTATCTACCAGTATATATGAGCAAATGCAGCGGCAACAAGTAGCATATAGTAGCACATAGTTTGGTAGCACATAACAGCATATCGTAGAGATTTGTAGGATACAGTAGTGAGTAGTAGTATATAGTAGTTTATAGTATATGGTAGTCTATATAGTGCTATATAATTGCATAGCATAGTATATAGTACACAAGAGGTATAACCGAACACCGGAGATCATAATTGTATTCTATAATATGTAGCGGTTTCAACTTCCTCTGCAGTTGGTATGATCGTCTTTGAGAGTTCCATGGTGGATACTCTGTTAACTGTGTATGACAGTGTAGAAGAGAATCTGACATCATCGGTTCAGATACCAAAATCTAGGACATTTTCAGGTG